TGTAGCTATGCTCGCTTTTACGATTAGAGTCGGCATCACTCTCATCTTACTCTCTCTTCCTATATACGAAGTCTCAACCTCTATTCTTTAGTTGCCTTTTTCGTTCTCCTTTCGTCTCTTTATAAAAAGGTTGGGAGAGCCCTCCTCCGGATTGAATACAACTCCCCCGAATCAGTGGGACTCCTCATGATCTAACGGGGTGTTAACTCAAAAAATATCGGGTGTTACAATATCAACCAAAAACCAAACCTGAATAAAATCCTATGCCAAATTAGTATTTTAAAACTGGAAATGAATAACACATTCATTAAAATTAGTGTTACATAAGCATAAGGTTGTCCACAATAACAATTTAAATTACCAGTGCTGAACAAAAATAAGCTTCTTAATATCTTCCTAATTAGTTTGGTTTTCAATCAATCATTAGCATGGCAGAAACACTCCACCGCTAAGGAATGGCAAACGAACTTAAAGTTGTATACTGAGTGGTGCATCCATCCCCTGAGTTCATTTGACGAGTTAATTGTTGAGTGGTGCATCCACCCAGTGGGTTCATTTGATGTGTGCATGATGTTTATGATGGCAAGTTTGTTGATTATTTGGCGCTAGCAATTATTAATGCTGATGATAATAATAATTCAGAGTAAATTCACTATTGGAATGCTGCTTAAAAAAATTAAAAGCCAAATCTGAATTTAAATCATTGAATTAATCTTCACTAGCAAATTTTTTATTGATGCAGCAACTAAAGGAGCACCATTGTTAGAGTTGAAAAGTCTTACTAATCATCAATGGTGTATATTTATTGGCAATTCATCTATAATACTCATGATTGTTTCTTCATCGAGTGAGTTGCAAAAAGAGAAATTGATGCGAGTATGTGAAGTCATAAGAATTCTCTCTGATGTAAAGTAATTGATATTATTGGCATTGTTTCTTCATCAACAACAACAACAACAACAACAAAGCCTTAATCCCACTATGTGGGGTCGGCTACATGAATCCTTTTTCTCCATTGCGTCCTATTTAGTATCATATTTTCATTTAGTTCTAGTAAATTAAGATCATTTTTAATACAATAAGCCCAAGTCTTCCTAGGTCTACCTCTGTTTTTCTTAACACAAGTCGAATTTAAAACATCTACTCTCCTAATCGGATCATCTAATGGTCGACGTTTAATATGACCAAACCATCTAAGACGACTTTCTCTAATTTTGTCTGTCACAGGAGCTACACCAACCCTATCACGAATATATTCATTCCGCATTTTGTCTCTAAGTGTAAAGCCACTCATCCACCTAATCATTCTCATCTCGGCAACACTTAACTTATTATTATGCTTCTCTTTTAAAGGCCAACATTCAGCGCCATAGAGCATTGCAGGCCTCACCACCGTTTTGTTTCTTCATCGAGTGAAAATTTATGCCCTTGGTGGATCATTTAAGCATACTATAAATTCTAGCATGAAAGAGGTTATAAAGAAAGAAGTTTTTAGATGGTCGGATGATGGAATCATTTATCCTATTTTTGATGTCCAATGCATTGTGTTCATAAACAATGTGGAATGATTATTTTCTTCAACACAAATAACAAGAAAATTCCTATAAAATGGTGATAAGGTGGAGAGTATGCATGGATTATTAGAAGTTGAATAAAATTAAAAGAAAAGATCAGTTTGATTTTCCATTTATTGATAATTTTTTTGAACAACTAGCTTAGCATTTCTTTTGTTGTTTCTTGGATGGTTATTCAAATATTCAAGCTGCTATGACATGCGAGAGCTAGGATAAAACCACTTTTACTTGCTAATATGGAAGAATTGTCGTTAGAAGGATGGCATTTGGTTTGTGCGATATATTAATGACATTCCAATAGTGTATGATGGTTATATTCTTTATTCTAGTGGAAATAATGCATTTATGTATTTATGAATGACTTTTTATTTTAGTTGACTAATAGGTTTTGCTAATAATTCCATAAACTAGGGCTGTCAAAACGGCTCGTTGTTCGCGAATAGCTTCTCCGCTTTGTTAGGGTTTCGCCTCACGGCGAACCCTAACGTCTGCTTCGATATCTCTCTCGTCGTCTCTGCTTAACCTTCCTCGTCGGTTTCTCGTGTCGTCTGTCACTTTGGATTCGGCGGGCTGTGTCTGCTCTCCTTCGTCGTCGCTCGTCGTCGCCGCTCTGCTCGAGCTGTTTTCGCAGGGGCGTTGTCTGCTTCTGCGTCCCCTTCTGCAATTTGGGCGTTAAGAACAGGCCGTATTTTCGGGGTTTCCGCTCCTGCTCCATGTTTTCTGGATTTTGACTTTCTGGATTCTGACTTTGCTCTTCATTGCTTTCTTCATTGTTCTTATCGCCACACCTCCATCTATTAGGGATGGCTTCGGACAGATCGTATGCTGCTGCTCTTGCGGGTGTCAACGCCACCTCAGGTACACCAAAATCGTGCTCTTTTCCTCCTTCGTTTGAGTGGGAGGAGGATATCAAGAAACTTTGAAGGAAGAATGGGAAGTCTGTCATCTTTTTTATAGAAGCTGAAGATATTTAACTTGCCTCCTCCTGTCGATTGAATTTAGTTGGGAAATTTTTGTATGGTCATCCCAAAATGGAGCTGATTCGTAAAGAATTTGAGCTTATGCACCTGGTTGGGGAGTGGAAAATTGGACTGTTAGATGGAAGACACATTCTCATACAAATAAATAATGAAGAGGATTGCACGCGTTTATTTGCAGTTTACTTGCTAGAAGGATAATCTGGATTGATAACAGAGTAATGAAGATTCTGAAATGGTCTATGAATTTTGACCCTCGGACGGAACCTCCGATCATTTCGGTTTGGATTTGCCTCCCTGGTCTGAAATTTCATTATTTTACTCAAAAAGTTTTGTACGCTATTACATCAGCTTATGGTAAGCTACTCAAAACACACATTCCTACTTTTAATCTTTCCCATCCATCAGAAGTCAGAGCACTTGTTGAAAGAGACATCACTTCTGCTTCTGAGGAAATTTGGTTGGGCACACAGCATCATGGATATTGTTAAAAGGTAGTGATTGAGCATTTTCCTTCGTATTGTTCAAACTGTCGTATATTCAGCTACTCCTGTTCTCAATGCTACCATCTACATCAACATCTCAGAACAAAAAACACAGTGCTCCGCCAGAGATAGTGATTTCATCTCCTCCTGATCAACTCCAAGTTATTGATAATATTGATCATCAAAATAATGCCCCCAAATACGTTACTATTCTCGCAGGAAATATTACAACCACTCAGCCGTCTGTGGAACCTCCTATAGTAGGTGAGAGGGAGATTTTTCAGACCCCACTTGCCCTAGAAACTATCACTGTTATTACAGGTTACAATACTTCTATTGCTTCACTACCGCCTCATCAAGTTAAGCAAGCTGTATCTGTCACTCAGGTTCATGAGGATCATGTTGTGCAACAACCTACACCTGTCCAACCAACTTTGGAACAATCTATTGATCAAATGAGTCAATCATCGGATGAGAAATGACAGGTCTACACATCGAGGAGGAAGAAGAAGAATGGAGATCTACTTGAGCTCAGGAATCTGATGTATGATACTTTGGTTACTTCGAGCAATGACACTCACCTTACTAATTTGTTAGCAGGCTCAATTTCGAGAACTAGAGGCAGAGGGAGGACTAAAGTGGGACGTCCCTAGCACTTTTGCGCCTTTTGGTGGTTTTTTGGTTTTTTATCTTTATGTTTTGCTTTATTTGGGTTTTGTGTGTGTTATACTGTGTGAATTGAGTTTTCTTTTAAGCTCTCTCATACAGTCTTTCTATATCTTTTCCGTTTTAATAAATTAGCTTTTGGGCTTTTTCAAAAAAAAATATATATATATATAGATTAGTAGTATTTTTTAAAAAAATTTAATTGACTACAAAGCTGCAAAGATTTATAATCACATAGAAGTATTAATTAAGAAAATAGAATAGAAAGTATTAAATTAGATTCAAATAATGTTTTAATATAAACAATAATTTTTAAATCTTGCCCCTACCCTTAACATCTTATGGCTATGTGATGCTATGTGATTAGGGTTGTGTCAAAACGACTCTTTGTTTGTGAACAACTTGTGTTCGGCTCGCTAAGCAAACGAGCCGAACACGAGCTAAGTCTGGGCTCGCTCCTATTCCGCTCGTTTACACCCCTACCATAAACATCTATGAAATAGTATAATTAACAAATTAGTAGCTTAAGTACACCTTTTAAGAGATGTAAAATTGCAAATGAAACTTTCAAACTGGTCTTGAAAGTGAAACAATTGTGATGGGTACATCTGCTGAGGTTGTCCTGGAATTACTTGTATGTTTGACTTCAACACAATGCAGGAACGTTTACTGAAGAAGAAGCCATTTAGTTTGAAAAATAACTACTTAATAGTAAATGAAATAAATGTGTAGCTTATAATGAAGGTTTTGAATTGATTGTTACTTTGGTGATGCTCGGGGTGGTGCATATGCTAAAATAATTTCTTAAATTTGCTAATTAGGTAGGATAATACTAATGATGTTGATGATGATATGCTAATAGGTCTTAGTAGAATACTAGGTTTTAGTTCTCCCCTTGCCCCTGGTTTTGTAAGATTCACTATTTTGGAGCAATGCTTATATACTTAGCTTGAAGGTACTGCTATATTTATAGCCAATGTTTTTTCTTTCGTAGACCTTATCCCATTATCAAATATGAACTAGCCTACCTAGGTTGGTGTGTATTTTTTTTTTTTTTAACTTCGAGTAAAGTTCTCTGTCATTACTCTGTAGTGAATCTTTGACTGGAATTATTTGCTTCTTTTGCATTTGGTTAATACAGCTTTTAACTATGGAATGTAGTAAACCCTTGCATATCATGCAGAAAGATGCAGTAAATTATTTTTGGACCAAAAATTACAGCTGCATTCCCTCTTTTGCTGTATTTTTTTCAAATTTAGAAAGTTTTTTTAACAAAAGATATCCATTTTTTTATTCAGAAAATTGGAGAGACAGAGTTTGACAAGGAGAAGAACGTCGACTATCTGTCATCAATAGAGGTAAATAAGCCAACTTTGACCTTATAGTTTAATTAGTGCAAATAAATTTTCTTTTAGCTTTTGTGATTTTAAATTTCTTGTTCTAATAATGGATTGGCGTGAACAGGTATTGATCATTGATCATGCTGATGTTATCACCATGCAGGTTTGGCCTAAACTTAAGGCAAACATAAATACCGTTTTGTTCAATGATTCACTTGTACTCACGCCCTTCTTTTTGGTGATGTGTAGAATTGGTCCCATGTGAATACTGTGATGGAGCATTTGAACCTTATGCCATCTATGCAACACGGAACTAACGTCATGCGCATTAAGCCATGGTATGCTACTAGGTTCTGGGTTTATTAAAGAATATATATATATATATTGAAAGCCCAAAAGCCTAATATATTAAGTAGAAAGAAAGATACAGATACAAAGTGTGGGAGGGCCCAAACATGGCACCCTGCCCACTAAAAAACCACAAATGTTTCCAAAACTTAAAAAAACAAAAAAATACATTAGATACTTAAATAAAAAACCTAATAGTGTCGAAATACATAGTATCAGGTGGCTAGAGAGCGACCCAATTTGGTCTTGCCTCTGCCTCTAGGTCTAGGAAAGGAGCAAGCTATTAAGCTAGTAAGATGATTGTCATTGCCAGAAGTAACCAATGTATCATCCAATATGTTTCCGAGCTGGAGTCTGCCTCCATTTTTCTTCTTCCTCTTGGAATAGACATGCCACTCCTCTTCCGAAGAATCAGTCTGATGGGGTGGTAGAGCTGAAGCAGAAGGAATACTAACCATAGTACCACCCACAATAGGTTCTACAATAGGTTCTAATATATGTGAAGTATGAGTTGCCTCTACACCGGATACTTCCTGAAAAAGTGGAGTTACGAGGCTCTTCTGATTATCAGTTTGAACACTATCATTTGCAGGTAATAGTCCATCAGTGTTGTTTTCTATGGGGTTTGAAGGTGCCAACATCACATCACTCGCAGTAACAGTAACAGCAGTGTCATGAGGGGGGTCCTCAGGGGCAACAGACACCACCTGTCTGGTAGTATCTATCTCAGGTGGAACTAAAATGTTTCGCAGGCGAAACTAAAATGTCCAGACAGTAGGGTTAGACCGATCCTTATTCACTTGAATCTTAGTTTTCAAATTAGGATGGAGCTTGTAGCATTTATCAATGATATGACCAAACATCTTACAGTGGGTACAATATGAGGGTCTATGTTCCAAGACGATTTGTTGCCAATATCCATTGTGGGTTGTGTCCAGCCAGAATTCAGTAACATCCGGTAAAGTAATATCCCTTTCCACAAGTATTCTGGCCACCGAGGGTCTGGTTATGTTGAAAGTAGGCATATCTAGCTTCAAAGGATCCCTTAGGATGACCCCAATAGAGTAGAGAATCTGATGGTAAAAAAAATGCAACTTGAGACCAGGTAAAATAAACCATACCGGTACAGTGGGAGTTTCATGATTTAGTTCGAAATCAGGAGACCACTTGAGTAACTTCATAGATTTTCCTTCGATATTAAGATATTTCTTGGAGAAAATTTTGATGTAATTTTCAGTCATTGTTAGTTGGATCAACGCATGTCTCGCATCCATGTTTCACCTTTCACTTGCTTATTGACTTAAGATCATCTACACACTTTCTGATAACCTCCATAGGTGGGTGTCCCCACTGAAATTTTTCAATAAGAGCAAACTTGAATTTTTCTGTCAGGGTAGAAATTTCTGATTCACAGAAAAAATTGTTGTTTTCTCACATTTTCTACTTCTCTTCTTAATAAAAGGACAATCATCTGTGTCATTGCGACATTCCTTATAGCTTAAGGGGAATACCACCCGAGGGTTTCCCACCACGTGGGCAAAGGAAGCCTTTGTCGGTTCAACAAAAGAAGGAAGTGCCATCAAAACAACCAGTTGTCATCTGCAGCAAGAAACTTGCGTCGGGCTGGAGAGAAAGACGGGCGCAAAAACAAAGCAAAGGATCGGGCCGAAGAGAAGCACTGGCGCAGACACGAACAGAAGAAGCGTCGAAAATGAAGGAAAGAGCCGCAACATCGAAACTGGACACCGAAGCAGAAAGACGAGCCGCGGAACTTGCAACTCGACGAGGTCGAAGCTCGACGCAGAAGCTGGCGCAAACAAAGCTGTAGAATCCCTACATCGTTGTCGACGATCGCAGAAAACGAACGCATAAATCGTCATTGAGTGAGAGAAGAATTTCCGGAAAGCCAAAGATCATACCAGGGAATCGCCATCGGACGAAACCCTAGCGGAGCAGCCAGCTACCTACGACATCCGCTTGAAACTTATATGTTACTGCTTGTCATATATATATATATATTGGAAGATTTACATACAAACCACATAAGTCCTATGTATTTACATATCTAACACCTGCCATTCAGTTTGTACAGACATGCCACTTTACATATGCATGAAAAGTTATATTTTTCTTTCTTCGAAATTAAAATGGTGGATTTTTTATGTGATATGTATGATTTGGGTCGTATAAATGTAAAAAGGCAATGTTTAGGTGTTAGATATGTAAACACTTATGAATTGGATGATATGTCTTGTTTTATATTTCAATATGGGATAGAGTTTATGTAGGCTGTTATATTTAATGGCTACGAGGATAATGAATGCTTTACTGACACTATTGCCATCATCAAGTCTCACTGTCCATTCACTTTAATTGAGTGCTAAATCAGAACTTATTTTGTTTTTGCACTAATTCTCTTCATGCTATTTTTGGTTTACATTTTTCTTCTTAGTCATTCGAAGTTATCTATATTATGGGAGTATTTTGTATTCTTTATTATAAATTGTCCAAACACAAAAGTTTACTTTTACTACATAATTTCAATAGGGAATCCTTTTGGCTGAAAACAATGAAGATTTATGAAAATATTTATGCTAAAATTGAGATGTAAAATATCTTTTCTATTGTTCCATTTTTTTTAACCTAACAATGTGTTGACCTCAATTTTTTCGTGAGGTCTAGTATTCCTCGTAGGAGTTTGGATCTAGCCTTAGGGGTCTTCCTGCGACTATCTTAGAACCTTAGAAGTGGGACCCGCCTCGTTTTAGTTCGACCCGCTTCCGTCCCCTTCTGGAGTTTCGCGTGTGTGGTGTCAACTTCTAGCACTTAGAAGGACGAAACCAACATGAGGAAACCCAAAAGGGATTCCCTATAGGACCTTCCTGAGCCTTAGGGTGGCCTTTTGCACAATTCGCACTCCCGCGC